TAACTGGCCTTTTTCATTTCCACACGAAAGAAGCTCTGCCATACAGCAGCCCTTCTGTAGAAGGGGCTTGCCTGGCAGAGGCAGTCATGTATGAGAACATTGGACTGGCTTTCAGAGCTTGCATTGCTCTCTTGAGCTGGGTGGCTGTAAAAAGTGGTAAAACTCGGAGTCTTATTTCTTTCTCTGTGAGAGTAGAAGACTTTAATCTCTAATACGCTTGGAGTTTAGGCCTCTTCAGACTATCAGCATAACTTTGGCTTTTAGAGAGAACATTTTGGATATATGTATATAGGCTTATGCCTAAAAGCACCTATATTTCACACTTAGTTTGGGCATAAATGTAATTATATATATTACATTTTCATTCAAAATACAATGCAGCATTTTCCAGCTTTCTAATTTAAAAAATTTACACTTATTTTTCCTTTACACTGTTAATCATTATGATCTTATTTAGGTAGAATGTGCCCTTACTCCTTTCTCTATACTTTCACTTTACAGAAACTTTTTAGTTTGAGGAAGTCGCTCACTCTTTTGTTACATTTGCTTTTCATATCATGTGCAAAAAAATCATTTTCATGATTGATGTCAAGGACCTACTTCCCTATCTCTTGTCTAGTAGTTATATTATTTCAAATCCTTCATTTAAAACTTTAATCCAGGCCCTCCCTGCTGGCACAACAGGTTAGGATGCAGCACTTCAAGCAAGCCACTCAGTGTGAGCTCGATCTCCAGCCCTGGAGGTGACCTACATGACATGCCAAACCTCTCTGTTTCACCTGCTGCTCCCCTCAGCAGTGTACTTCATCTATCTGCCTGTTCTGCTCCTCACTCTATCTTTGCTGAATCCTCTCACCACCCCTGCACCTCTGGCCTGTACCCCAGTTCTATATGCATAAATGATAAATAAATCTTAAAAAAAAACTAAAAAAAAAAAACTTTAATCCATTTTGAGTAAATCTTGTGTAGAGGTAGTGGTCTATGTTCATTTGTTTGCATGTGGTTGTCCAGTTTTCCCAGCACCATTTATTGAAGAGTTTATCCTTTCCTCATTGCTTACTGTTATTCCCTTGTGAAAAGTTAATAGACCATGTGTGAGTTTATTGATCTTGTGTCTGTTTTTATGTTAGTGCCATGTTGCTTTAATTACTATAGCTTTGTAATATAGTTTTAATCAGGAAGTGTGATGCTTCCTGCTTTGTTCCTTTTTGAATGATTGCTTTGGCTTCCAGGGTCTTTATGTTTTCATGCACATTTTAGGATTGTTTATTCTATTTCTGTGAATAATGCGATTAGAATTTTGATAGGCATTGTATTGAATCTTTAGATTGCTTTGGATGGTCATTTAACAATACTTTTTTTCCCCCAACTCATGAGTATAGACTATCTTTTGATTTATTTGTGTTTTCAATTTCTTTCATCCAATGTCTTCTAATTTTCAGTGTAAAGATCTTAATCCCCTTGGTTAAATTTATCGTTGGGTATTTTGTAATTTTTGATACAATTATAAATGGCATGATATTCTTGTTTGTATATGGAAACATAGAAGTTTTTCATATATTGATTATACAACCCTGTAGCTTTATTGAATTTATTATTCATTCAGTTTCTGGTTTTAGAATTTTCTACATACAATATGTTACCTTCAAATAATGACATTTCTGTCTTTTCTGATTTAGATACCACTTATTTATTTATCTACTTATTTATTTTTTGACTTAATTTCTCCTTCTAGGACTTCCAGTACTGTGTTGAATAAAGCAAATCCGTCTCTTTGATAGTGTCTAGAGGTTGGACTTCAGCTTCTTCTTATATAACTTAGAAAATAAATAACGATAAAATGAATCTCACTCTGTTAATCACATGGGGAATCACTCTTGTAATCACTCTTGTAGAATGGAAGCCACATTGATCTCATTGGTTATTTTAGTAGTATTTGAAATCATGTCTTCTCCCATAATGGCAAATCAAATTCTTAATTTTTCTTTCCTCACAGCAACTTTCTCAAATGTTTAATGTTGGGTGATTTGGAATTTTCTACATACAATATGTTACCTTCAAATAATCTCATTGATCTCATTGGTTATTTCAGTAGTATTTGAAATCATGTCTTCTCCCATAATGGCAAATCAAATTCTTAATTTTTCTTTCCTCACAGCAACTTTCTCAAATGTTTAATGTTGGGTGATTTGGAAACTCATTTCACATATACAGGCTAATTCCAGATATTACAATTAATACTTATGATAGGTATTTTTTCTGCATTTTCTATTTTGGTTTAATCTGCCAATCTGTTATATTAGACATCATTTATAATCAATCATATTATCAATAATCTCTAAGTGTACATCCTATAATCAATAGCATAAATGTCTTTCTGTTTATAATGTTTGGTCCATAATGTCTTAGTGCACAACGTAAAAAGACGTGTGTACCCACTGACCTTAAAAGCATGTTCTAGAGAATAAGATACTTGCAATCTTAAATGAAAGATTTGGACTTGTAAACTATTGTATTGTTGGGGATCTGTCACTTAGGTAAACCGATAGGTTTTATCTTTTCATGTATTTAAGAATCTTTGCGTTGCGAGCATAAACTAGAAGCACAAAGTCCTAAACTCTATTATTGTTAATAAATCTATTGAAAGCACAAGGCCCAGTATTTTCTTTCTAGATAGATGATCACATGCCAAAAACTGTGGTTGCTTATAAATATATTTACAATATTTTGATACTTCATTTTAGAGGTGGAGATCAATTTCTCTTGTGTTCAGTAAAAGTTGATGACTTGCTTTAGCAAATAGTATGTCATGAATGACATCTGAAGCTAGATCAAATAAGCCACCGTAGCTTCTTTGCTTCTTCTCTTGCTCACTCTGTGAAAGCCAGTTACCATGTTGTAAAGACATTAAACACCCATATAGTGAGAACCACATGGTAAAGAACTGAGGCTTCCTCCCATCAATCACCAAGGTACTGAGACCATCTGCTAATCGCCCTGTGTATGGGCTCTCATGCAGGTGGATCCTCTATTGCCAGTCAAATCTCTAGGTGATCACATCTAAGATAAAAGTCTTGATTATAACATCACAGGAGACCTTGAGTCAGAACCACTCAGCTTACATCTATCCCAGACTATGAGACTAGTAATGTCTATTGTTTTAAGCCACAGAGTTTGGGTTAACTTGTTATATAACTAGAGATGACAAGTACAGGTTTTTCCTCCCCTAAAATTCTGTTTTTCTGGAATGACTCTTCTAAATGACTTGTGTTGCACTAGATGGATGGATGAATGATTTTATTGTTGAATTTTATGGAAATTGAGTAGTTAAAGAGATATATTTAGGTGCCATGTTAATGGAAGTGGATATTGTTAACTGTGTAATGTGTCAACTCAATTTTCTTAAACCTTATTTTCTGGACTTCCCTTCCCTTTATGTTTCTAGATAGAGTAGGCCACAGAGAATTTTTTTTTTCATGAGCAATGGAGGGCGTATGTGAAGTGGCAGCCTTTACTTTTTTTAAACCCTTGGAAAGTCAAGGTAGGTATCTTTGTAATTCACATATATTATTGCAAATCTGCTGTCTCATTTCACTGGGAGGCCAGCCGCCAGGCCAGTAAAATCCCCTCTGGGTCTTTTTGCAATTATTCTGATTCTTGGATCAAATGTGTGCTTAGGTCTGTGATGAAGGGTGTCTTCTGTTGGATATTCACATTTTCAAATTAGAGGTGCTGAGAATTAGCATGAATTCCAGTTTGTTCTTATGGTATCTCCCCTTATGCAGGGTTCTAGTTTGTTTTTAACTCTCTCTCGCTTTATACTCATTTCTTTTTTTTTCACTACATGACCTGTATATTTCCAGTTATATCACTACACTGAAAAAGAAAAAAAAAGAAAAAATCTTCCAAGGACAGTGTCCCCATAATTGTGTAAGGTCAAATTTCTGTAACAAATACTTTATTCTATTCTATTATCTCTCTATCTTCTCCAAAATGTCTCTTACTCACTTAAAGTTCTGCTTTTCTGATTGACCCTTGACTAATGGAATGATCTTTACATCATCTTGTACTTCAATTATGTTGGTCCTCAAACCCATTAAAATAAATGTGAGATCACAGAGGCTCCTGTGAGATGGCAGGTTTACCACTTTATTTCCTAGTTACCTGGATCTAGTGCACAGCCTAAGAATCTACATTTTACATAGGTATCAGATCTAGATGGTCAAAACACTGTACTTTTGAACAAACACTTATGAATATTTTATCATATTTAAAATATACTTCATTGAAATTAAAGTTTTCCAATAATAAAATTTTGTTTGTATTACTAGTTGTGTAAAAACCATCACCATGCAAAAGAATGATAAGTGACAGTATAGAGGTATTAAGAAACCTTATGAGGGTAGTTATTTTATAATGCATGTTATGTATAATAGATGCATATCAACTTGTATACTCTAAACTTACAAATGTGTATATACTTACATGTCAGTAATATCTCAATAAAGACAGAAAAAAAGTCAATTAGAGACCATTTGAGGCAATAGTTTCATTTTATAAACAAGTAAATCAAAACCCAAAGATGTTCAGTGATTTTTCCAAGGTTTCACTGGCAATTTTTCAGTAGAGTTTATATATTAGTCTTACAATATATTGTCATTTTATGTGTATAACTGATATTATAAGAGAATCAAATATTGGGTCTTCCTATCGTTGCAGGAGATTTTCAATCTGTTTATTATTTTTTCTAATTATGTTATAGCTAATATATAAACCTAATTATATCAAAACTTTATAATATGCATTTGTTTTCTTTAGACTAATTATAGAAAAATTGTGATTATTCTAAAATCTTAACATTGGTAGATTTTGAACTGTTTTTAGATAAAAGACTATTTTGGTGACTTGATATCAAAACTACAGCAGAAGGTAAAATGATGAAAATCAAATAAAGACAATGGGAATTTTTTCCTCTGTTTTTATTTTGTTCATTTCTGCAGATGGATTCTGATGGCATCATTACTATAGAGGAGCAGATTGTCCTTGTGCTGAAAGCCAAAGTGCAGTGTGAACTCAACATCACAGCTCAGCTCCAGGAAGGAGGTAAAGATACTAAGAATATTGTGTCTCTGTGGTGCTCCCACCTGCCCTCAAAAAGATTGCAAACATCCCTCCTCATTCAGCATTAGGGATTTGCTCATCAGTCATCATATGTTTCTGTAGGAATGTGCTAGTAGCAGAATCGTTTTCTTCTCCTTAACCCACTAGCTTTTTCCCTTCCTGATGAAGGAGTGACTTGTTTGGGCATATGTGTGTTTGGGCATATGTTCATCAGCCTCTTCTTCAGGCCTCTATTTGGGATGGGTCTTACTTTTTAAGAAAATATTTATTTTATTTCTTTATGCATATAAGAACGGGCTTACAGGCCAGAGTGGGGAGGGAAGTGAGAGAATTCACCAGAGACAGAGTTGGGAGCAGACTAGGCAGATGGACTGTAAGTCACTGCTGAGGGGAGCAGTGGATGAGATCGGAGAGGTTTGCTCACCATATTGGTCAGCTCCCTGATCAGGGATCAAACTTATGCTGCAGTGGCTGCCAATAGCTTGATAGTGCTGAGACGTAACCTTTTGTGCCACCAAGCAGGCCTGGGATCTGTGTTTCTTGTAGAGACTTCACATGCATGCTGGTTTGCCTTCATCTATGCTGATTTTATTTTACAAATGGAAGATCACATTGTTTTAGGAGTATTGAAACAGACTAAGTTAGATTCTTCAAATTTGAGATTTTTGTGTGTAAATATCATGCTTTGACAAGCTTGTTGATAATTAGCCTGGAATGTAATGCATGGTGTTAATTTATAAAGGGAGATAGATGAGTCATTGGTACCTAATTAATTTCTTGCAAAATAATGAAAGTATTTACTCACATAGAGTGTGAAATGATGATCAAAGATGAGGTGTTAATTAAGATCTCTGTTGTCTGTGTGAGGTCATGGCTTCCCCAATCTTTTCAATCTCTTGTGGCTATTTATTTACAGTTGTCTTTAACAAAGAGTTACCAGAGAGATAAATATGATCTGTAGAAACATTTTTGGGGCTAGTATTGGTTTTCTGAAAGTTTAGGGGTATATCTGCATGTTTTTATGTATGTGAGATAATGTCTTTTAAAAAAATGTTACTTTTTTAAAAAGATGTATTTATTTATGATACAGAACTGGGGTACAGGCCAGATGTGTAGGGGTGGTAAGAGGATTCACCAGAGACAGAGTGGGGAGAAGAACAGGCCAACTGATGAAGTACACTGCTGAGGGAAGCAGTGGGCAGGCCAGGAGAGGTCTGCCGTACCGTGTGGATCACTTACAGGGCCGGGATCAAACTCATGCTGGAGTGGCTTTAGTTTCTTAGTGCGGTGCTTTAACCAGCTGCACCACCAGGGAGGACCCAAAAATAATGTTACATTTATAGCATGAGGAAAAAAGATCAGCAGTTTTTTCTCCAAAGCAGTTCTTAAACTATTCATTTATAGAACAAACTGATCATATAAAGACTTATAGGAAGATCACATTCTGTCATGTGATTTATTGGAAAATCCCACATGATATCACAGTTTTTATATTAGAGTAACAACTAGTCACAGGAAAACAAAAATATGTGGCCAGGTTCAATTTATGTAGACTGTACAGTAGATATATGGTAAAGGATTAGGTAGTTCAGATGAACAAGTATGCCTGACTTGTTAAAGATAGTGAATACATGGGAATTCCTATGGAACAATATCAAGATAAAGAAGGATGTGAAGGACCAGGTTGATGGGAGAGACTGATTAATCTTACCAGTTTAAACTAAAAAGAAAACAAACAAAAGGTAGGCAATAGTGGAAAGAAGCAGGTGAAATTGTGTACCAGAAGCTGAGGTCAGTGGGATGAGTTCCTAGGTAGCTTGTGGTATGTAAACTCAGGCTTTCATTATATGAATAAAGTGAATGCATTTCCAAGAAAATGTTCTCTTTCATAAAACAGTGTGGGTGAGGGAAGACATTCTTTTCTTATTACACCAGTAATCCACAAAGCATATCAATTATTTGTTTCCATATGATAAGGTAGGTACTTGGAAGCCAATTTCAGGTTTATGCTGAATTCTTTGTAGGAGGTCCTGTTTGCTGATTCTGTTTAAAACTGAACAAACAATTTGATGTCATTAACATTAGTTAGAAACAAAACTTCCACTGCAGTTAGTGTAATTGGTCACTAGAAATGAAAATATGAGTGAGTTCTAATTGATAGTACTGTGATAATAGAATAATGGCCCCCACGAAGATGTCCACACCCTAATATCTGGTGTTGTGTTGTGTATGTTATATTAATTTGCAAAGGGACAATGCTGATGGCATTAAGGCTACGGACCTTAACATAGGGATATTATCCTGGATAATCAAATGGGCCTTTCAAAATAGGAGAGGAAGAAAGAAGAGTCACTTAGGAAAAAAAGGAGACACTTGAAATTTGAAAAAGACTTGAGCTGTCTTACTGATCTTGAAGATGGACAAAGGGAAGACATTTTCTTTTCTTATTACACCAGTAACCCACAAAACATATTAATTGTTTCTATGTGGTAAGGTAGGTACTTGGAAGCCAATTCCTTCCAAGGAATACAAGTGGTTCTAGAAGTTGGGAAAAATCCTCAACTGACTGCCAGTAAGGAAATGAGGACCTTGCTCTTATAACTAAAAGGAACTGAATTCTGTGAACAAATGGAATAAGTAAAGAAATGGAGTCTCGCAGAGAGCCCAGAAAGAAACAGCCCTCTCCCCACTGCCATTGCTAATTTCAACATTGTGAATCTATAAGCAGATAGATAACTGAACTTCTAACCTATAGATATATTGAGAAGATAAGTTTATGTTATTTAAAGTTACTAAGTTTGTGGCAATTTATTATGGTAGCAATAGAAAATGTATACATTCCTTATCAAAAGTAGCTTCCTTCAGGGATCCTCAGACACTGTTGGTGGGAGTGTAAACTCATCCAATTTGTATGGAAAACATATACTGGTATCTCAAAATATTAGAATAGATCTACCATATGATCCAGCAATTCTACTCCTAGGTGTCTATCCCTGATCACTAATATGCACTCCTATATTTATTGAAGTACTATTTACAGTAAGATTGGAAACAATATTTGTGTCCACTCATAGAGGAGTGGATTAAGAAGATGTGGTATAGATACATTATGGAATGCTGTGCAGCTACAAAAAATGAGCTTTTGCCATTTACAACACCTTGAATGGTATTTAAAGGGGTTAAGGTAAGTGAAATCAGAAGAAAGATAATTGCTGATGGTTTCACACATATTTGGGATTTGAGAAACAAAGACTCAAACAAAACATCTGAAACACAAACCCTAGAAATCTGATTGTAGTACCAGAGGCTACCAGATGGGAGAGGAAGCAGGTAGAGAGCACAGGAGAGGGTGCCCGATGGTTATTGGGGGAAGACTATGGGTGCTTGACTGTGGGCCTGGTGTGGTTATATAGACCCAAAGGGTGTGGACTTATATCTTTGGACCATATGGAGTGTTGTAAACCAATACTACCTCAAAAAAAATAGAAGCCTAGAGGACTGAAGGAAAAAAATAGCCTCTTTTTAAAAAGACAAAAAAATAACAAGTGGGTGAGGATGTGAAGATGAAGGAACACTTATGCACTGTTAGTGGGAATGTACATTGATGCTGTCTCAATGGAAACAGAACGGGGGTGTCTCAAAAAACTGAAAATGTACTTCCATTTCTTCCATCAAATCCATGTATGGAAGAAAATAAAAACACTAACTGGAAAAGATATATATATATCCACATATTCATTGCACTCATTTACAACAGCCAAGACATGGAAACAACCTAAGAATCTAGTGATGGATCAATAAAGAAAAGTATATATGTATATATACATGTACATATATATTTTCCTCACTGATATGGAATGGAATCTAATGGAATATTATTCAGTCATTAAAAGGAAATTGTGTCTTTTCTGACAGTATGGACACACCTTCAAGGAATTATGCTACATCAGACAAAGACAAATACCATATAATGTCACTTACACATGGAATTTAAATAAACAAAATCCCTGAGCTTATAGATTGGTGGTTGCCAGAGGTAGGAGGCTGCTGAGTGGGTGAAATGAAAGATGGGTGTTAAGAAGTACAAATTCTTGGAAGCTGAGGTATGAGCATGGCCAATAGTCTCTTTTCTTGAAAGTTCAGAAAGTAGTTAAGGACAAGGAGTGCTGAAGAGCTCAGATGTTGACTGGCTGAATTTTTGTTAAGTCACTGTCAAGTGTTGGGTGCTGGTCCATAGACATGATAAGGCATGACAATAAACAGAAAATTCCCTACCCTCAGTGTTTTTAAACCCTGTGGCTTAAGAAAACAATGATAGAATAAATAACAGCACTGAAAGGTGATCATTGAAAGCTTAGGTGAAAAGTATGACAGGAAAGGGAATAGAGAGAATTGCGGGATACAATTTTAATGAGAGAACATTTCCTCAAAAGTTGTCCTTTGAGTAGAAATCTATAGAAGGACAGTAACTAAACCTTGGAGCTATCTGTGGGGAATGGCATTGAATTCTAGGAAGGAGGAACTGAGGTCATGGAGATACATCAGAGGAGAGGGAAGATTTCTAGGGCTGTCAGACTTTGTGAAGATGACTTTTGCTCAGAGCCAGATGCAAGTTGTGGCAAGATTCTGGCTAATGGTGAGAAGAATTAATGAAAGGGTAGCAAGAATGGAATCAGGAAGGTCAGCTGGAGGCTACTGCAGTAATTTAGGCTGGAGATGAGCAATTTAGACCATGGTGGTTGTGAGAGGTGATAGAATTCTGGATACATCTCAAGGACAATTGAATTTTGGGACATATGTATCGTATCTATCCAGCTCTTATTTCTAAAACTAATTTTAAAATTAACTTCTGATATCTAATTTGTGATATATTACCATGGGTCATGACCTGAAAGTTTGTATTTTTTAATTCATTGACTCTTTGGTTCCACTTGTATTTTTTTTTTTAATTTTTAAAAAAATTTTTTCTTCTCAGAGGGAAATTGTTTCCCAGAATGGGATGGACTGATTTGTTGGCCCAGAGGAACAGTGGGGAAAATGTCAGCTGTCCCATGCCCTCCTTATATCTATGACTTCAATCATAAAGGTATTGAGTTTTTCTGAAATAATTAATTTGGGTCAAGAATCTGCTGTTTATTGTATAGTGGACTCTAAGAAAACTAAGCAATTTCAGTGTTTTCTTCATGTCTTTACAGGAGTTGCTTTTCGAAACTGTAATCCCAATGGAACGTGGGATTTTATGCACAGTTTAAATAAAACATGGGCTAATTATTCAGACTGCCTTCGCTTTCTGCAGCCAGATATCAGCATAGGAAAGGTATTTTGTATTTGTGAGCCCTAAGGGAAAATAGAACATGTTCTTATGCACTCATAATTGTCAACCATTTTATATATCTATAGAAGTCTTGTATTTTATGACACAAATATCATAAAATATAAAATCAAGTTTGGAATTATTTTCTGATTTTTGGTTAAGGAAACATATAGGATCTGAAACATTCTGGTATTTTCTTTAAATCATCGTAAGCTGGCTGAGATATATGCACATATGCTTCAACATGTGTGTGCATTATGTTACATTATGCTATGCTATATTATGTATGACAATCTAAATAGGTAGCAGCAACATGACTCCTGGTTTCTTCTTGGTTACCTGTGGATATCTCTATCTTACTGTAGTCCTAGTGGAGCTTTGTGCTTCAGAGCTGTATCTTCCATCCCATAGGATTTGCCAGTAAATTTCTTAGTATATGAAAGATTAACATTGTAGAATTAAAGAAAAGTAAAGGACATTGTGCATATCTTCCTGCTTATTACTTACACGTGAGTTAGCTCAGAATCTGAGATTTAACAGCTTGCTGATGGTGGGGTTGAAAGCAGAGTTCTGATCTCCAAATTCCTTATCAGTTTGAAAACTTTAGAGAGTTACTTTTCAGTAATGCATGGCAGTTTAAATGTCATGCTTAAACTTACAGCACTGAGACCTGGTGAGGAAAAAGCATCATGATCTAAGCATATGATGCTAACAATGAACAGGATATGTATGTGTGTGTGTGTGTGTGTATATATGATTTTTATGAGGACCCTGATAACAGTTTATCATATGTAAACTCTCCCAACATTAGACAGTTTTCTTTATGCTTATGATTTTTGACAGGTGAGGGAGAACATTAGGGGGACAAGTGGTTTGTTGATTTCTTTTTTTGATTTTGCATTGCTAGTCATTAATTTCCTTTTAAAAATTTTCTTCTTTTCAATCAAAAAGCACTTAGTGAGTGCTTTAGTCTTTGCTGAAAATCTTTCAATTCTATATTCAGTGACAAGCATCTTAGATAAAATTGGCCAATGTGAGGAGATTGTTATGAATTCTGCAACAGAATTAAAGCTAATAATGAATTAATATAAAATGCTTCAAAATAACTTCAATTTCATTGACAAAAATAAACACTAACCAAATTTCATGTAATCTGTTGAATTTATTTGTGCATGACACATGCAAGTATTTAGACAGTTTTTAAATAGTTATTAAATTTAGCCATAGTTTTATTTACACTGAACTCTAATATAACCATTTTTGTGATTACTGTGTTTTCCAAAAATAAAAATAGCTAAGGGACGCAATATAGCTAAGAGATCTTATGTAAAAATGATTTACAAGTTAGCTGAAAACTTTGCAGAATTTTATTGGTATAAATACATTTTAATAAAAAATATAAAAAGTATTTTCTATTGTTTACAACCCTTAAGCAACAATTATGAAAAGTAAATCTCCTTTAATAAGAAAGCTGGATAGCTCCTGTAGGCAAACTGATATTGCTTATTTATGAGATATTAATTATTAATCATTATGAGATTTTATGTAAGAAACACATACATAAAAACAATAGTGTATACTTAATATCATATCTTTATAAAAAATAAAGATTTTTAAATCATCTGTTACTTTACTCTTTAAATAATTTCTATATTATTGGCTTAACAAAATGAGATAATTAATTTTAATGAAAAGAAAGAACTCTTTTCATCACAAGGTTATTACATTTTTAGAGGATGATATTTTAACAGTAGTAGGATTTACAATATACCTCGTGTCTTGAGGGTATGTGTGCTTTTCTAAAGCAATTTCAGAAAATGTATTTAAAAAATTCAAAGGGGTCATAGCCTTTGATTTTAGAATCACTTCTGTGATTCAAGCATATGAATTCAGAAGAATGGAACTGAAAGGGAGAAATGTTTACCATTAGTGATTATAGTGAGTAATCAAAGAATTTAAATTTTAAAATATACACATACACACACATCTTTGGAGAGAGTTAATTGAAAACAAATGAGGTTTAAATGTATCTATCAATTAGAGACTCAGATGCTCAAAACAATAGGAAATGATGTATGAGAAGAATGAAGGAAATGCATGCAATGAATGCAGTGTTTCTGGTTTGTGGGAACTAGAGAATTTTGTTTTTTCCCTCTTTTATATCTTACACATTATCCAAATATCTTCTTTAAAAGTTTTAGTATTTTATAAAAAGAACACAATATTATAAATATTTTGGAAAATGGACAGAGAGGCTACTTCCAGTTAGGATGCACAAAGGTTGAATCAAAAAGGATAAGTAGAGTAAGATGCAAAATCAAAATTTAGTAAAAACCTGTCTCAGTGGATCTGAGGCTGTCAAGACAGCTACATAATTGTAATTCAGAAGTGGCGTAACCTTCCTATGAAAGAAGAGACCTATATGTATCCCAGCCTGTAACAGAAAAGGAGCAACAGGCCAACGAAATAGAAAGGAAAGAGCAGGTTTTAGCAGCCATAAAGGCTTAGGATTCTAGGACGCGAGTCCCACTCTGCAGTGAGCCATCGCTGTCAGCCAATTCTTTCCCTTATGGCTGTTACTGAGGCCCTGAGGCCCTGCATAGAGCTGGTCCGTACAGTGACTGGCGAGGTTCCTAGGCCCCTCACAGAGTGGAAGGAAGCGGTGAGCTGAAGGCCTGGCACAGAACAGGGAGGTGGAGGACATCTCTTGAAGCACATGGAACTCTCACTAAGGACATGCCCACTGCAGCTGACAAACCAGAGGAACGGTAAGAAAGCTGAGAGCAATCCCGGATGTACAGGTCTCCGTGAAAAATATCACGCTGACAAAAGGGAGCTGAGAAATCCCTCCTAGGCATAAGAGGCCTTCCTCTAAAGTAAGGAAGTGACTAGCTGAGGACCTGCCAGAGTGGTAGGATGGCATGAGAATGCCCATGTTGGAATAACAAAGTGACAGTCCTGTCACCCCAAAAGCAGATAGATGGTTTAAAGAAAAGGGAAGAGTTTGGTGGACTGAAAAACTATCACACAGAATAAAACCATATAATGGGCACCAGAGGCTACTGGTAACCAAAGGAAACATCTTGAATTTGCTCTCAGAACCTAAAACTGAGACAAAGGGAATTAGGAAAACAAAACCAAATAAACCACAACTAAGTCCAACCGCAGTGTAACAAGGGAGTAATCCAATCTCAAACCTGTTTCCTGTCTCCCTTCCCCCAAGAAGACTGACAGAAGAGACCTGCCCTTTTTAAGCACTTAATGTCAAATACTTAAGCCCTTCTTCTCTTACCTGAAGTGCCTGGACTGTAGTGGAAAATTATAAATCAGGCACCAATATTTCAAGAATAAAGAAAAGAGCAGAGAAGAAAACCTTGTAGATATTTGACTTGGGACTAAGAAAATTGAGGACAGACATAAAGTAAATACCAACATGTTCCATTTACACTCAAGCATAGCAATGATTATATTCAATGTGAATTGAATAAATACTTTGCTTGGCAGAGATGGATAGAATAAAAGTATGGTGCAATTATAGACTGCCTTTGAGAATATGCTGCATTTAAATATAAAAAGATAGGTAAATATGGAAATGTCAGCTATGCTGAAATTAAAAAGTAGGGAGGAGGTATATTCTATGTATACACTAAGCATAAGAATATTGATATAGCTAAGCAGATATTAGATAAAGGGTATTACTAAGACACAATGATTAAAGAATCAATTTACCAAGAGAAAATAGCAGCCTGGAATAGGAAGTATTTAGAAACTTTAAATAGCATGAAGAAAAATTATCAGGACTAACTGGAGGAATCCTATCATATCAGAGTTTTCTTTAATGCCATTCTTTCATAATTGATAGAACAATTGTACATAAGTATCTATAAGCTATTTTTCAAGCCGTTTGATTAAATGACACTTACAGAATACTATACCAGATAACTGCAAAATTCACATTTTGAAATACACACCAAAGGTTATACATCATAAAAGAGCTCAAATTGTAAGAATAAAATACATAGAGCATGTGTTCTGATCACAAAAGGATTAATTGAAAATTTACAATAGTTGAAAATTACATGAACAAAAAAAATTACACGAAGTATATAATGGAAGTTCAGGCTAAATAAGTTTGAAAGCCCAGTATATCAAAAATTTTAAGAAACAGCTAAAGTGAGTTTAGAGAGAGATTTATAAGTTCAATGCTTATTTAAAAATGGAAAACATGGGCCCTCCCTGGTGGCGCAGCGGGTTAAAGCACAGCACTGAGAATCTAAAGCCGCTTCCGCATGAGTTCGATCCCCGCCTGCCCTGGAGGTGACCACATGGCGTGGCAGACCTCTCCTGACCCGCCCACTGCTCCCCTCAGCAGTGTACTTCGTTGATCTGCTGTTCTGTTTCCCACTCTGTCTCTGGTGAAGCCTGTCACCACCCCTGAGCCTCTGGCCTGTACCCCAGTTCTGTATGAATGAATAAATAAATCTTAAAAAAAAAAAAAAGGAAAACATGAAAATTCAGTAATGACAACTTCTTCCACATTAAGCTATAATAATATAATCCCTATAGCAATCACCAACAGGACAATATGAAAAGATACATCAAAATAAAATCCTGAAAAATGTTCAAGTAACCCACCAAATGACAAGACAAAACAATTAAAAATAGAACAACATAAAATAAAATATTGCATGATATACACCAAAAGCAATGATGTATATACATACATATAACTAGCAGCAGAGATTGGAAAGTTATTTTAAAAATAACCAAATTAAATTATCTACTTAGTTTGAAACTCATTTAAAAGATAATGACATAAGAAGTTACATTCATACTATGAAATACTATTCAGCAATAAAAAATGACGTTGATAGGTGTAACATCTTGACTGGATCACTGGGGCATTACCCCAAATGAAAAAAACTAATGTTAAAGGTCCCATACTGTCTTATTCCATTAATATAATATTTTTATGAAATGAAAAAAAGGTTAATGGTTGTCACATGTCAGGGATGTGAAATGAGGAAGGCTGATGTGACTACAAAGGACAGGACAGGAAACTTCTGCGGCTTTGGAATAGGTCTTTATCTTGATGGCAGTGATGTTTGCAAAAGTGACATGAACTATAAACACACAACTTGTACCAACAACTAATTCCTGGTTTTGACATTTTAGTAAATTAAGAAAGACACAATAATCACTGGAGGATACTGGATGAAGGATAGAGGGAAACTTTGGTATTATTTTTGCATTTCATGTAACAATATTGATGAGTACAAAAAAAAAGCAGATGAGAAAAGGAGTTTTTGCTATATAATCTAAGAAGTCTTAGAACAACCCAGGAGTGTGTGAAGTAGATGAACAGGAAAGCTATTTGTGGTGACAGAAATCAGAACAGTAGTTAGATGGGGGTGGATGGTGGGTGGGTTTTTTTTTTTTTGAACTGGCTTGTCAAACCTTATCAAACTAAACATTTAAGATCTGTACATTTTCTTTTATGTAAGTTACAGTTTAGTAAGAGAGTTAAAGAGAACTAGAATCAATATTCCCAAAATAACATATCCTTTTTACAAGGTTCCTCTTAAAATAGTCTTGTAGCATATGTTTTATTTTTTACTCCAAATATCATGTTAGACATATGATTCTAACTATTTAGAATGAAAGTAGATGAACTAAATATTGCAACATTTAAGTTTGACCTCACTTAAACAAACAGAAATGCCAAATATTATCATTACATTTTAACCCTGACTTAATTTAGGAAATAAAAAGAAGACCAGTTAATTAATCTATATGATATGAATGTAATTACACATTGTCTATTTTTAAATAGGAAAAAGCATGATTTTCTAAGTTTATCTACATCAACTTATTTGTTCAAATGTGCTTTTCTGATTAAATTTCTTCTTTCAGCAAGAATTCTTTGAACGCCTCTATGTCATGTACACCATTGGGTACTCTATCTCTTTTGGTTCTCTGGCTGTGGCTATTCTCATCATTGGCTATTTCAGGTGAGTGAGTCTCACTAGTTACTCAAAGTGAGCGAGTCTCATCACTGGCTACCCCACGTGAGTGAGCCTCATCACTGGTGGATGAGTCTTACCATTAATGACTTCAGGTGACTACTTCCATGAAGGGACAGTTCTGTTTCCTATCCATTAAAGACATTGAGTACCAAGATCTTTGCCTCAATTATCTTCAAAAACACAAGTTTTTGAATTTAGCTTCTTGTTATGTTATTTGACTTCAACAATTTATTTTTTATCAGAAACTGAGGATTATTTTTGTTATTTTAAATACTGAAGCAGTATGAAGCCATAAGCCAGCCAATAGAGCAGTGTTTGTAAAGTGATACAAAGTAAAGGTAAATGAGTTATAAACATGTTTATGATGCAATGATTCATTTAATCAAAATAACTCGATGTCACTAGACAGAAATAAAATTTAAGTACTTCTAGAATGATCTGAAATCATATATAAAGAAATGGTACTTACTGCTTTTTTTAAAATCCATTTTTAAAAAATCCATTTTGTCCAATTCAATTCAATTTAATCTCAACAACACCATGCAAAACATAGTTGTGAGCACTGATCTGGGACAAACCAATGAACAACATATATAGGATATTTATACTTTTGGTGGAACTGGGCTGTGATAGAAATAGCTGACAAAACAATTGCTATACAGTTTGAAAAGTTCTAGGATTCAGGTTGTGTGTAGTAATTTGGGAGGGCAAATTACACAGAAGGGCTATGAGGGGAACTCCCAAATGAAGTAAAATCTCAAATGCTGCATGATTACAAATAAGATTTAAGCAAAAGGAATAGATCTTTCCCTTGACTACAGAGACTGAAGGAAGAGTGTTCCAAACCTAAGTTTAGACTACAAAAGGAGACAATATTACAGGATCCAGAATTTTGGTGTGAGCACTAATGGGTATGAGGCCAGAGGTAGGTGTTTCAGATTGTATCCAGAACTGTGTGTTATATGGAATTTGAGCTTCAGCCTAAGCACAATGGAGGGGCATGGAAGGGTGTTTAAGTGGAGAAGTGCCACGCAAGGCCAGATGCATTGCAAAGCAGAGTGTGAGCTGGTGCGATGCCTGCCTCTCTCTGGTGCCCTGCAGCAACAGGTCCTTCTTAACTTACAATTGATCGATTAGCTGTCGATTTAAAGGAAGAATTGAAGAGAACATCTTAATGCCCCATGATATTGTCATCACTTCACCTACTTTTTTTTTTTTAAAAGATTTATTTATTTATACATACAGAACTGGGATACAGGCCAGAGGTGCAGGGTGGTGAAAGGATTCACCAGAGACAGAGTGGGGAGCAGAACAGGCAGATCGACGAAGCACACTGCTGAGGGGAGCAGCGGGCGGGTCAGGAGAGGTCTGCCCCGCCATGTGGTCACCTCCGGGGCAGGCGGGGATCGAACTCATGCTGCAGTGGCTTTAGCGTCTTAGTGCAGTGCTTTAACCCGCTGCGCCACCAGGGAGGGCCTCACCTACTTTTTTAAGTTTTGATCCTCCCTGTTGTTTTTTACTGGGAATATAATGGGTTTCTGTCTCTGCTTAAGTGTGTGTATACACACACACACACACACACACACACACACACACACACACACACATATATATATAGAGAGAGAGAGAGAGAGAGAGGAGGGGTTTGGGCTCATTTATGTATTTCTTTCCTCATTTATAATTTCTTACCAAATTGAAATACTGAATTTTTTCTTTCCACAGGCGATTGCATTGCACTAGGAATTATATCCACATGCATTTATTTGTGTCTTTCATGCTGAGAGCTGTAAGCATCTTTGTCAAGGACAGAGTAGCCCATACTCACCTTGGAGTGAAGGAACTGCAGTCTTTGCTCATACAGGATGAACTACAGAACTCCATAGAAGCGCCTTCTGTGGATAAGTCACAATATGTGAGTATTTCACCATTTTCTTGCTTCACTGATTTGTATGAGATTACAAATAAGCAAAATTTTATAGTTCACTAATTATGAATTAGCCTGTTTTGACTTATCTCACTGAACTAATTGAAACAGGCAATCAGTTTATAAGATGATGTTTACTACCTCAATTTTCTATCTTAAGTTGTCAGGCCTAATCACTCATAATCTTAGCTTATTAAAAGTGCTCATTTTTTTCCTGAAGAATATTCTGGAATGAAAAATTTGAAAACACATGATTAGCATGGATGTCTAAACTAGCAGCTGTCATGGCTCACCAGCTGCAAAACCAGGAGCTTGGCTTTGTGAATCCATGGTATTTAATTCTTCATTGTATATATAAAGATTTGTTCCAATACAATATTCCATAGTAGTTGACTCTGCTCTTAAATGTCCTGGGGTATATTGTGAATTCAGTTACCCAGTATTTCAGTGAATTAGAAGCATTATCATCATTAAACAACATATCTGGGAAATAGGTGCAATAGATTGTCTTGATGCTGTGAATTAATGTCCTAACTGTATCTTTGCTCTTTGCGTAACTTTGTCATTTATGCTGAATTCTGATTCTAGATGGAGTCTGACTTGTTTTACTCAGTGGAATGAAGTAGGAGTAATAGTGTACTGATGGAGGGTAGACCTCTGGTAGTAAGCTTAGCCAAGATTATCTGAACATGTTTGAGGTCATTAAATTTTGGCTCATAAGAAAAACCAGAATAAATTCATGGTAGAATGATGGTTATCCCTTTTTAATGTTTTTCTGTACTTTTCTAATATTCTCTGATGATTATGTATTATTTTCATAAACAGGAACATTTAAGAAAAAGTCATTTTTAAGCAAAAAATTTTACTTTAAAAATAGAAACACATCCAGTCTTAAAAATGCTATGTTAATGTACCTTTGTTCTGGTCTGTTCTGTTTCAATCACTTTGGCCTTCCTATTTACAAGACACATATTGATGATAAAAAAGAAATAGAAAACTGCATTTTGGTGGTCTAATGTTGGCATCTAGTTCAAGCAGGAACTCTAATATGCAATTCTGGTTGATTTGTAACAGATTGGGTGCAAGATTGCTGTTGTGATGTTTATTTACTTCTTGGCTACAAACTACTATTGGATCTTGGTGGAAGGACTCTACCTGCATAGTCTAATCTTTATGGCTTTCTTTTCTGACACCAAATACCTGTGGGGCTTCACCCTGATAGGCTGGGGTAAGGCATTTATGTCTCCTTTTCAACTGGATTTTGGATTTTAGGGCTTTCTGTCATGTCTATCATTAGCATTCTATCAGCCATTTTCCAGAAACAATCCTTTCCCCATCTTATCATTATCCCATCTTCCTTCGCTTTCATTGCTCACTGAGAAAAACTGTTAAGTTCCAAGTCTATATTCCTCCCAGTAGCAACAAACTTTCTATGACAAAATCACAGCTAGTATTTGTAGGCCAGATTCTTGAGAGGATTTTTCAGTGGAATTTAAGTTAATAATGTTAGCTCTAAACATTTAGAACTGCTCTGTTTATGTCATATGTCAATATCTTGATTCAGCAGTAATTTCACCTAAAAATTTTAATTTTTGAATTTCTAAGCTATAAAGATATAGCTTTGCTTTGCATTTCTAGGTTGTGTGATAGAAATAAATTTATAGCACCATGTTGACTGCATTTAGCAATGCCAATTACATTGTGCAGAATTATTTTGGAAGGAAGCAATCCAAATTACTTTGGGCATAAGTAATTAAAAAAGGGAATATTTAGCTCACAATACAAAAATGCCTTATCAGTACTAGGGGGATTAGTGAACTAGACACTAACTCAACATAACAAGAACAGGATGATCTTTGTTATAATTTAAAAGTAATTGGAACTCATATGTAGTTAAAATTAAGAAATTTCACAATTAATTGCAAATCAAAATTGCTGTTTCAATATCCAGATTATGAAGTACTAAGCATAGGCAAGAAATTGAGTGACTCAAGATTAAATTAGATTTTTTCCCCCTCTAAAGAAGAATATTCCTTTGCTTACTCTGCTTTAATATTGTTTTAATATTTGAAAAGGTGAAGTAAGTAACATTAAATTTCCTGCAGCTAGTTGTTAACCTCTAAGAAGACAGTCAATTTATTATAACACTTCATTTATTATGAAATATTAATTGTAATGAATAAAGTTTTATTTCTAAAGAGCTTGTCTGCTTTCTCTCCCTTATTTCTGATAGTTTACTGAAAATAAAAGATACATATTTTTAGGGTGTTTGGAAATTTCCTCGAGTTTTTCTAAACCATCAGATACTTAGCAGGATATTTTGCTAGAATAATTCATAGTGAATCATCTAATTTCATACTTTCAATGCTGCAACTTACAGTCTTGACTAGAAAAAAGAAGTCGTTTGGATGCTTTGTTATTCAGTTGGAGCCAATCATTATAACTTGAAGCTCTCTTCAGCTGGGTAAATCCTCTGAATTATATGTTCACTTTGTAGTGATAATTATTTGTAGTGATATTACTTACATTGATGTCTCTGGTTCTTAGCAATAAATTGGAAGGGAAAGGAATTATAATCTGAAGACGATAAGGTACTGCACGTAATTGAAGACAAAAATTTGAAAAAGGCTATTTACACATCTTGATTGTAAAACAGGGTATACAGAAGAGTAAAGACAGATACTAATGATGACTGTTTTTCTTATTTTTCAATCAACTACATTATTAGTTTTCCCTACCCAATTTATGAGAAAATTGGGCTCTTTATATTTTGTTCCATTCTGCACTTTCACCTACACAATTTTCTATATAACCATATACTTAAAAGACATCAGTCTTGTTCCTTTATCCTTATTGAATGTACCTCTGTATTAGCAGCCATTCTTAATTTTCAACATGAGATGCCACATATACAAATTATTATATAAAAACACCTACTCTGATTATACCATTGGACAGTATCCCTTTTATCAAGCTTTAACATTCTATCTTCTCTAAAAATTAACCAGGAAAAGAGACGCAACTTCCAGATTTGTTATCTCTGCATAAAATGATCTCAATCCAGCAAACTTGGCAGCAAATAGAATTGAAATACAAAGGTGTGTGTTAAAGTCCTCCCACACAAGTTTGTTCCTAGGGATTATTTTGTTTGCTCCTTTTGATCTTGTATATTGTATTCAAAATATGTAACTTGTAAAATTTATTCTTAGAATTATGATAATAATCCTACAGAATGAGAAATATTCATTATTGACTTCAAGCAAAATCTAAAAATCTAGAAAAATTATTTCTCCCTTCCCTTGATTTTACTGCCATTAAAAATCCTCTTAAGGGCCCTCCCTGGTGGCACAGCGGATTAAAGCACAGCACTAAGAAGCTAAGGCCACTTCTGCATGAGTTCGATTCCCGTCTGCCCCGGAGGTGACCACATGGTGTGGCAGACCTCTCCTGACCCGCCCGCTGCTCCCCTCAGCAGTGTACTTCATGGATCTAACTGTTCTGCTCCCCACTCTCTCTCTGGTGAATCTTCTCACCCTCCGCATCTCTGGCCTGTACCCCAGTTCTGTAAGAATAAATAAATAAATCTTTAAAAAAATCCTCTTAAAATTAAAATTTATTGAAGCCACTAGAGTCATAAAAAAAACCCTGTGTATATTGACTCTATTTTATAATAAATAAGGAACTTGGTTCTCTCTGCTTATGACTTTTCCCAGACTTTAAAAATCTGGAATTTATTCCTAAGCATTTTAAGTTATATGGATGATTACTTGTTTAAAATAAAATACATTATAGTTAACTTTACATTCACCTTTATGATAACTTCACATATTTAGCTCTCTGGGCTCACTTGGCTTCAAGATACCACCTTTTCTACACCAACTGTATTGACAGTATTTAATTCAGTAAACATTTATTTTCTATTCCATTGTAGCTTTTCTGCTTCATATTTTTACAGTTTTATAGTGCTTTACTCTGTTCTCCCAGCCTAATTCTGAAATATTTCTATTAGCTTTTTTTTAAAAAAAGATTTTTTTAGCATCCCCTAGTAATCCTGTCTCAGGAGGAGGTAGCTCCTCTAAAGTTTCATAAATAGACACTCCCCTTTGTGACAACAGAAGGTGTTCAAAGGGTCTGCAGTTTTCCTAAAAGAGAGGTACACTCATTTATCTTGGCTTTATGGCCCTATGAGAGTTGAGACTATTCTGTGAAAATCATCTAGAGGGGCTTCAAGTCTCCTTAAAGAATGAAATGGCAGCTGACGGGGTTTGAATTCTTGCAGCCTGCTGACAACAGAGTAGGAACGGGAGGCAGAGCCTGGAAATTCATGTCCAAGCTGTCAACAGAGATTGCCTTTCAAAGGAAGTCATATTTCTGGTTAGTAGGGTTTTGTATGTCTGCAGTCAATCTGGGGTCCATGTCATCATGGGTCTCTAATTTTTACTATCAGTTGTCACTTTATGATTGGGCTATGCCTTTATAATACCTACAACAGCTTTGCAAGAGGAGGGGAAGGCAGAGTAAAACTTCTCTGAAGACTTTGAGAGTCTAAAACAAGATAAAACTACACAGACTAAGATGAGATCCAATCTCCTTTCTTCAGAATATCTCTGTTTAATGCATGGGCTACTGCATTAGTTTTTAATTCAAGAATGTGTTTAGTTGTTAATTTTTTTTTTTGGGCCACTATTAGCTAATTGAACCTCTCATTTCAAGAGAGTAGTAAGGGAGCCACTTGAAAACCCAAACTTACTTAGGCTGAGACCAGAAATTTTCTCTCTCTAAGTCATTTATTAGTACTGAGTTATGAAAAGAACTCAGCTCTTCAGGTAAATGCATATATTGAGTAACATTAAAGTTTATATCAAATTTACTTAAATTAAAATTTAAAGCAACATCGAAACTGCAACTTTTCCCCTTGACCTTATGACAGTGTTCTCAATTATGTAATAATCATAGCATTATGTAATAATGCTATGATTGGTGATCAGCAATCCTTAAAGAACCCCAAAAATGTCCCAATTCTTCATTCTTCCTCAGTTGCCTCTATGTTAGTCTTGTCATCCTTCCAAGAGAATGAGAATAGCAATTTTTAGTAAGACATGGTGACTAATGTATTTGTTGCAATTATCATCAAAAACATAATTCCAACTTAAGTGCCATTAATCAGTGTGTCTAGAACACCATTCAGGAAATTGTCAGATCAGGAGATTATAAAGGAAGCAGAAGATAAAGATCTGGAAATGAGAAAATGTAATGTTTTAATCAAAGGCAAATAGACACTCTTTTAAGATGGCTGAGACAGCACAACAGTCAAAAGCTCTCTGCCACCTTTCTGAACTGTCCTGCCAGAAGGAGCCAGGTTCTTTCTATTTCTAGTAACTTTTTGTGTTTTCTTTGTAGTGCTAATTATAAATGAAGCCTTACAATTAATTTTGCCTCTTTTACCAGAGCATATTTCAGGAAAACAGGGATATTGTTAAGCTGTTCTTTTTTCCCCCCATCTTCTGAGCCTAGGCCAACCCTTGATACATATCTAGGTATGTAGTTGATATTTAATTGATGTATGTTTGGATGGATGGATGGATGGATGGATAGATAGATATAGATGGACAGACAGACAGAACCTATGAAATAATGACACAGTAAGGTTTAGGTTAAATTCAGTTAGATGATCAGTAAGGAGACCAAAGAAATTCTCTATTGTAGGATATTATCTTTCAGTTTTTTCTTTGAAATTTAATCATCTGAATCTACTTATTCATTTTTTTTGCTAAGAAAGTATTTAAAAATGTATTTTTAAAGATACAGATTTAATATTGTATTTAATAAAAAGAGTTCTAAGTTAAAATGTGTTTTTCTTCTTTTCTTAGGTAATAGCCTTTGTAATGCTTTCATTGTGATTTTCTCTTTCCTTAAGTCTCATTCATAAATCCACATAATGAAAAGTTACCTGTTAAGTCCTTTGGTCCTCTGTTGTAATGTTCCATAAAAGTTATGGTTTATGATTTTGTGTGTTCCTGATACACAGTCTGTTAACGATAGCATGACTTGAACATTTAGTCTTTAGTGGAGACAAAAGACTAGTGGAATGTTAGTGTCATTGATTAGATATTGGAAGACCACAGGTGTTTAATATTTAAGAAGGACACGTATCACATTTGATCATCAAACCAACACAGTGGCTACCCTTCACTAACTTATTAGTGCCGGCAAATATATCTGTCTTAAGTCAATAAGCGCAAAACAATGATCAACACAAAATTGATCAATAATTCCAGATTTTATAACTCACAGCCTCTTTCTGCTTTCCACTTTAAAAAAAAAAGTTCTCATTTTAAAAAACGAGTGCTCCCCTGCACTTGCCCACAAGTCCTCTTATTGCTTCACTCCTTTTTGAGAGCATGTAGCTGTTGGTGTGCAAGAGTCTCGTGGAATGTACCAGCTATTGCTGCTTCTGGCCTCACGAGCTTCAGTCCCCTCAAATATGGCCTGAGCCTCCATCCCTCAAATGGAAACCAGGCCAATCTTCCTCTTCAGATTTTGGGGGACAAATAACATCAGTATACTTGGTACTCGGCTCCAATGGCCACAATGAAAAGTTAATGGACTTTTCTTGTTTATATATCAACATTCTTCCTGTCTGTTCCTCATTCTCAATTTTTATATTTGTGTGTGGTTAGTATAGGGAACAGAATCCCTTCACCTTCAAAGAAAGACGGCCTCTGACTCCTTTTCTGTCTGCAGGGTTCCCAGCAGTGTTTGTTGCCGTGTGGGCTGTGGCACGAGCAACGATGGCTGATGCAAGGTGAGTGAAGACGAGGTTGAGAGAGAACCCAAGGTTTTTTTTCATGGTTCCGATCTCCTGTGTATTTTCACCGGTGCAGCTGTTGTTGATGACACTGCCTTGTAGGGATGTCACGTGGGAAATGACCTTGATGTAATGTAGCTTAAGAAAAGCCCCATACATTTCCAGCCCCATACTTTACTTCAGACATCATTTTGTCTGCTATGAAGTGAAAAAAGAAAGTAAAAAGCACTTCTGAGAACACCTCCTCTCTATAAGGAAAAATCCACTGTTTAACAAAATTCGAATCCCACAGGCCATTTTAGGTCTGCTTTCCTATTACTGGCTTCTGACCTTCCCTCACTTCTAGAACTTATTGGCTTTGTGTTTTACTTGGCTTTGTCTCTCTATGCTATTAGAATTTGTTATCTCCATGGCTATTATTGCTGTTTCCAGGTGATGCTGGAAGACTTGCAGTGCGTGCTACTTGATTGCTCTGGAAGAGAGTGTTGTGTCAGTGAGGAGATTCTCAGTAATGCTACAATAATTATGTCCTTAGATGTGTAACCATTTAATTTAGATTTGGTAGGACCTAAGACATTTTCGGGTCCAGTTCCCTCACTTTTGAGAGGAATGAGATCTAGAGATAATCAGCTTACACCTTCAAAACCTTTCAGCTGACCTGAGCACATTTTGGTTTTGACTTATTCATCCATTCAACAGCTCTTCCAGGCCCTGAGTGAAGAAAGGAAGCAAATATATTAACAATATGTTTTATAAAATTAGATAATTAGCGTGTTTTCTTTCTTAATAATCATAAATAAAGTCATAAACCATTACTAGTCATAGTCACTGAAAAAAAAAGAAATACATTTATTGTTTTTGAGGCAAAGAATCCATTATGCATTTATTTTGACAAATATGACTGACACTAAATTATGCTCTAAAATACTGAATTAATGTAAATACGTGGAGACACTACAATGAATGTCAATGAGCCAAAGAAAGAAGACTGTCAAAATCTATTACCAAATTTCAGAGAAAATTTATGGAATCCAAGAGTCCTCTAGCTGGTGAATGTTAGATTATATTTGTACAGTATGTACTACTTTCTTTATAGGAGAAGCCTTTAGGGTAATGTGGTAGTTATTCTGTACTATCAGTAGCACTATTTCATCTTTCTTATCTGGTTGAGTAATGTGAAAATAGATGCATACAAATAATGCTAGAGAATGTTCGATAATGTGCAGGTGTAAGACTTCCCTATCGCACTATGGTGGTGGACTGTGGGTGCTGTGGTGGGTGTACTAGACACAGGGGAAGGAGCGGGATGCCACATAGCAAAATACAAGTAACTATAGAAACAGACATTAGCCAATAAAAATGACAAATTCCATGCCTTACACTTACATGTTCAGACTTCAGTCCATTGACTGCACATTTCAGTGACTGGATGGGATTTGCACTTTTGTCTAGAGGAGAGGGTGGTTTAATGTGGTACTTCCTCTCAGTGGGATGCAGGAGGAAAAAAAGAAAAGCACATTGCTCTAAGGGGTAGTTGCACAAAAGAGTACATATTATATATACATATTTTTGTAAAATTGAGGAAAATAAGAACATTTGTATTTGTTTGTATATGCCTAAGGGAACACAGTAAAATAATAAAAGATAAAACAATGAAAGATGTTACCCTAAGAGAGAAAGGAATTTGGGGAGGACTAAGATTATTACATGTCCCTTTTTCTATTAGCTTGATTTTTGTTGCATATATAAAATACTAAACTTTGAACTCAAAGTTTATTAATTATTAAAGTTTGAAAATATATAGTTATTAGATATGTATCTTTAAGCAATAGGTGACTGGTATATCTTGTCTATTAGTTAGAACGTAATTTCTTAAAAAATTTATCACCTTGAACTAAAAAATTGGTATAGCCATACAGTTTCCTTTTTGGATAAAGTTTTTGTTGCCACAGTTAATACTGGATTTTTTTTTTTAAGGAAGAAAACAAATGGAAGATTTTTATTTATGTATCTTTAAAAACTGTTAAAAGTGTAGCATGAAAATTTTAAGTAACACTTATTTTTATCAACTCTGTGTTATCTATTGCAGTATAAAATCTTTACCACAAATCAGTTTGGGTGAGGTTGAATCACTTATTATTATTATTTTTTTTTACAAAAGTTTATTTTTACATCATTTTGTACATTTTTTTTTCCATCTCAATTGTAATCCCCGCGGGTTTCCCGTCACCAAGTCACCCATGTGCCATCACCATAATCCCGTGCATTTCCCTCCCCCCACCCCGTTTTTGATCCCATTCCCCACTCCACCCCCACAAAATGTCTCTGGTATATGGTTGTTCATTATTTTGGTTATTTTCCACCTGGTCCATTATACTCCTGCTATGAGTGAAACCATCCGGTATTTTTCTTTCTCTTTCTGGCTTATCTCACTAAGCATGATCTTTTCCAGCTCCATCCAAGTTGCTGCAAAAGACATGTGTTTCTCTTTTTTGGTTGCTGAGTAATATTCCATTGTATATATGTACCACATCTTTCTAATCCAGTCATCTACTTTTGGGCATTTGGGCTGCTTCCATGTTTTTCCAATTGTAAATAAAGCAGCAATAAACATGGGGGTACAAGTATCTTTTTCAATCAGTGTTTTTGTGTCTTTTGGGTAGATACCTAGGAGTGGGATTGCTGGGTCGTAGGGAAGCTCCATGTTTAGCAGTTTGAGAAACCTCCAAACAGTTTTTCATGTGGTTGTACTAGTTTGCATTCCCACCAGCAATGCAGGAGAGTTCCTTTTTCTCCACATCCTCGCCAACATTTGTTGTTGCTAGTTGTTTGAAGATGTGCCATTCTCACTGGGGTGAGGTGGTATCTCATTGTGGTTTTAATTTGCATCTCCCTTATTACGAGTGATGTTGAGCATTTTTTCATATGCCTGTTAGCCATCTGCATTTCTTCTTTGGAGAAGTGTCTTTTTAGCTCTACTGCCCATTTTTTGATGGGGTTGTTTATTTTTGTTGAGTTTCCTCAGTTCTCCGTATATTTTTGTGATCAGTCCTTTATCGCTACTTTTGTGTGAGAAAATGTTTTCCCAATTAGTGATCTGTCTGTTTGTTTTTTGTAATGTCTCTTTTGCTGTACAGAAGCTCTTTAACTTGATATAGTCCCATCTATTTATCTTTGCCTTCACTATTGTGGCGTTGGGTGCTCTGTCTTTAAAGATGTCGCTGAATCACTTATTTTTAATTCAACTCAATTTAACTAATATTTACTGATTAACTACTGGTTATGTACTGTTCTAGGTAACTATCATACATCAGAAATCAGAAACAACAACATTACTGCCCCTGTAGAATTTAAATTGTTGAGGCATGGGAAGAAAGTAGAAATACACAACAACTAGGCATATTATATAATACTTTTACTATGCTACTAAAGACTGTCTTTTTAAAATTAAGGATAAGATTGCAAGTCATGTAAATACAAAATGATTGCCTGTCAAATATTTTTCATCCCATTAATTAATGAAGGAACTAGTAAGACATTATAACTGGTTCAAAGAATAAATAAACAAATCCAATGTTTATATTTAGTAAAATTAACACTAAAACAAATTTAAAAATATGTGTGAACTGGTCTATATTTGTGGAGTACTAATCAATAATATTCCACCAAATACACTAATTTTCATTTCTATGAATAAGAATCATTTGCTTTCTGTGTTCTATTGCATTTCTATCAACAAAATATATTTGCATTATTGTCAAGTTTTCATTGCATTTCTGTAGATAAGAATGATTTGCAAAAAGAAATGATTTCCATTACTGTCAGTATACTAGGACTGAAGAGTTATAAAATAGATTGTTGTAATTTATGAAAGTGACAGGACTTTTTCTATCAACACATTTTAATTATTATGACTTATTCCAGAGTTAATAAAAATAAAATATCCATCATACCACACTTAGAAAAGTATAATTTTTTGTGTGGTTTTGGAAACAGTCTTGTTTTATATTACTATAAAAATATTCAATAATATTCATAATTTTGGGCTTATCCTCAAATGTTAGCTAATAGTATGGAAACTAGGATCAATTATATTATTCTTTTTTTCACTGGTTTGGACATTTTATGAGGTTAGTTTTTTGGCGTATTTGTTTATTAAAAGCTTGGGGCTGGAGTTTTTTCATAAAACTTAAAAGGCTATTTTGTCTCGCTGCCTATTTATTTTACCAATTTATTCATGGAAGTTGTTTTTCATGTCTCAGATGCTGGGAACTTAGTGCTGGAGACTTCAAGTGGATTTATCAAGCTCCCATCTTAGCAGCTATAGGGGTGAGTTAAAAGACTGGATAGGTTTTTTTTTTTTTTTTTAAGGATAAAAATTAAACTACTGGTACAACCTACAGACAGTTTGTGTGTCACTTTGTTCTACAAAGATTAGGAAAGTCTTATATTACAGCAAGAATTACTATAATAATCTGGGTCAGACCCTTAGTCATGGTAGACAGTGAGAACAAAAACATGCAACTTCCCCTTCATCAGCCAGCGCTGGGAACAGTTTGGAAGCTGGGGCTTCCAGATGTTTACAAATACTTACATGTTCAAGCAATTGGATGGTCCTAGAAGTTCTCTACCCCCTTTTACTCGTATTTATATTTCCTCTTTAGTATTCTGATCACCTCGTTGAAGGTCAGAGGAGGAAAAGAGGACATGAGCAGAAGAGAGAAATTACTGGGAGAACAATAGTAGATTCATTTTGAAGCAATGCTTAAAGTACTTCTGTGGGTACTTTCGACAAGGAGTTAAGAGATGAGAACAATAAAGGAATCTTTTTTAATATATAACAACATAAATTTCGACACTTGATGGATTCTGTCAGGTTGTCACTATGGCATCGACAAAGCTCACATTCAGCATACCTATTTGCATTGAACAGAGGGGTTCAGGCTTTCACTCTTTATGATCCCGGACCTGGAGATCTTTTCTTTTTCTTTATTTTGGGTCCCTTTACTGATTGTTGAGCCCCTCAGGTATGAAAAGGCTTATGCTACCAAAAACCTGCCCTCCAATCCCCATTAAAGCCAGAACTTGTCTGGGTCGTAGCTGTACCCACTATGCTAAGGGCCTTTTCTCCCTCCTTCTCCTGCCACTCCCTCCTCTCCCCTCCCCTACTTTTTTTTTTAATTGAAGTAACATTGGTTTATAACAGTATATGGGTTTTAGGTGTAGAGCATTATAATATCTATATATACTACATTATGATCACCACCCAAATTTTAGCTTTCTTCTACCACTATGAAACTAATCCCCTTTACTTGATTCACCTGCCACCCTTTTTCTCTGGCAACAACCAATCTGTTGTCTGTATGTAAGAGTTTGGCTTTTTGGCTTTATTTTGTTTTTCTTTACATTCCACATTTGAGTGCAATCATATGGTTTTTGTCTTTCTCAAGTTGACTTATTTCACCCTAGCTTAATCTCCACAAGTTCCAACCATGTTGCAAATGACAAGATTTCCTTTTTTTTAGGTAAATAGTATTCCATGGTGTATATATGCCATAATCTTTGTGGGTATTTAGATTCTTTCCAAATCTCAGCTATAGTGAATTCTGAATGAATTACATGTATCTTTTTAAATGAGTGTTTTCATATTCTTTGGGTATATACCCAGAATTGAAATAGATGGGCTACATAGCCTTTCCTACTTAATTTTTATGAACTCTCCACACTACTTTTTAAGGTAACTGTTGCCAGTTTACATTCTACTGCCTTTCTTTTCTTATACAGAATCTTACTTGCCTCTAAAACAACTTTACATATTTCACTCCATATTTTTCACATATTATACACTAACTCTGATTGCCCTAAAGTCGAGACAGACACTGTGAATTAATTTTTTAAAAAAGGCATTTGGTTAGATTTATATTATCTTTCTAATCTGCTCTAGAACTTCATCAGAACTTTGGTTTGGGAATTCCCTGGTAAATCATCCTTGGTATTTTTAGTTTTTTGTGCTACTGAAATGTTTTTTATCTTTGTGTCTTCATGAGACAAAATCAAGAATTACTACATTTCTAAGATTTTTATCTCAGATTCCCTCACTAATATTTATGGAATGTGTAACATTTATTCTTTGATTACAAAGACAGTTTATGTATATTTTTGTAAACATCTTAAAGACTAACTAACTCTTTGTAACATTATTTTCTCTTTCAGCTGAATTTTATTCTGTTTCTGAATACAGTTAGAGTTCTGGCTACCAAAATTTGGGAGACCAATGCAGTTGGGCATGATACAAGAAAGCAATACAGGTAATTTCAGGACAGCTGGCCATATGAGAAACAATTTTGGTTACTATTTAGACAAAATATTAGATGTCAGTTCTCTGAAATATCTCTAAGAGATTAAATTTAGAAATGTATATTGTTTACATTTTGTGATTTACTGGAAAAGCATATAAATACACACACACACACACACACACAAACATACATATTTGAAGTTTATATATAACTCAAAGCCTTCAGGATGTGCTTGATTGTAAGATTTTTTTTTTAGTTTGTTCTTGGGAAATTGGAAAATTTAATTTGTTCTTGGAAAATTTCCCCCAAGCTATGTGATCTACAATAAAATTTCATGCTGATGATCATGGAAGACAATTTTATCTATATTCTTTAAATATGTCATAATTGAAATAAATGAATAAAATGGATTTTCTGTATTGATTGTTTCCATTCTTTTCATCATTATTTGATTAGAATGTTCTTCATTATTTGATTAGAATGAATTAAAATGCCATGAAGCAAGTCACCATGTCCTCCCCAGATGTGCATTAGTGGAAGGAGAGTACCTGCCAGTCAGGATTCAGGACATGTACTTCCCAAGAAAAATTGAAGGATTTGTTAGAACAAGGAAATCCAATGTTTGTCCAATGCTTCTTGAATAAAAATGACTTCCGGTAGAATTTTTGAATTGAGTTGGTGGTAGATAACTTATGATATGGGGTTAAGAGTAACATTGGGAAAAAACCCTGTAAACTACAGGGGAAACTATCAATGTGAGTAGAGCAGATGGTCCTGAACACATAGATGTAGTGCTTTGCTACTAGTAAGAGGCAAGGGAGACTGAAGAGGATGAGATGGAGCAAATGAGTAAATCCAAGTGCTTCAATTAGGCATTTCCATATGCTTTTGTGGGACATTCCCATACACTCCAGGTCCTGGAATTGGAGTTAATTGGAAAGTAAGAGTGATAGTAGGACATGAGTGTAGGCGGAAGATCATCCCTAGTGAAACCTTAGAATGTTGGTGTCCTTTTTGACTACTGTGCCCCATTCTCTTATTTTGGAGATAAGGAAGCTAAATTACTACACACATGAAACTAATGGCAAATCTGGAAACTGAATCTAGTTCTCTTTAGTCTTAGTTCAATGTGATCTTTATTTACTACACAGTTTATTTCCAATAAGAAAAATTAGTTAATAGTGAATAAGTAAAGAGGAAAGATTAGTGAGAAAGGAGGGAGGTTATTATTGTTGAAGATGATCAGGGAATAAATGGATTCATTGAGAGAAAGAGATATTTGAGTGGTGAGAAAGAAGAAGCCAGACTTGACAGATTCTTAGATATAAAGACTAAAAAAGTAACAATGGAACCCGAGAAACACTCCAAACAGAAAATGATGTGTTTGGGTTATACTATTACTGCAAAATGAATGACCACAAATTCTGAGACTCAAAAGAGTATACATTTATTGCCTGATCTTTGTAGATCAGGAATCTTAGCTGAGTCTTCTGATCTATAGTCTCTTACAAGACTGCAATTCAGATTTCAGCCAGGGTTGTGGTCTTATCTGATGGTTGGGCTGGGGAAGAAGTCACTTTCCAGCCCCCATGATTCTTGACAAGATTTAGTGCCTTGTTAGCTGTTGGCCACATGACAACTTTCCTTGACACTTAAGCCTCTCAGTAAAGCAACATACTTTATGGCAACTTACTTCATCAAATCAAACAAGGGAAGCTCTGTAGTAAGATGATCATTACAGCCTTATGCAATGTAATCACAGAAATAACATCCCATCATCTTAGTCATAATCTTTTATAGTTAGAAGCAAGTCCCAGGTCCTATCCACACCCAAGGGGGAGAATTTTAACATGGATATAAATCATTTCCAGAACGTGAAACTTTGAGAGCCATTTTAGAGTCAACCCATCACTTCGGAAAATCTACAATTCCTCTAAATACACAAGAAGATATATATGAAGAGGTAGTAAAGGAAAATAAAGTCAAATTGCTTATTTGAAAAAAAATTAGTCAAGAGCTATACAATTTGAAATATTTAGAGAAGGCAAGAGATATTGACCTGATGTAGCTCATAAAAAAAAAAAAAAGTGAAATGAGAAACAGAGAACCAAATATGCAAACAAAAAAGGTAGTATATGATTTTAAAAAATGAACAAAGCAAGTCAAAATGCTGCCTGAGAAAGTGAAGATAGTGAATGTAGATGTAAGTGATGCTTCTTTAGGTCTCAAACAAAGAAGTTAAAAGACTTAGGACAGAGGCAAATATCACAATTTTTTGAAAAAAAAAATATCCTGTAAGCAAGAGATCACACTTGAAATTAGAGATTTGGGGAAAATATTCATGGGAAGTGAGAACAGCTACCTGAATTTGCATAAAAATGACAGGAAGTGGAGGCAAAGAAAAGAAATTTGTGTGTGTGGGGAGGACACAGTGGTCTAGAGTGGTGGAGAATGGGTGAGGGGTGGTGGGTGCACTAAGGGGGTGATTCCTGATGGGGTCTCCAATAATACCTCAGTTAAAAAAAAAAAAAAAAGGAAGGGTGGATGGAAGAAGTGTGTGTGGGGTGGGGGGGAAGAGAGAAAGAGAAATTTACAGAAACTGGGATCCAAAGAGATCAGTAAGAGTCCCTGAGAACTCTGCTAAGTTTTATTTTTTTCCCAGCAAAATGTCTCTTTGAAAAGGCCATCTAATTGGTGAAAAGACTTGCTCTTCTCTTTCAGGAAACTTGCCAAATCCACACTGGTCTTGGTGCTGGTCTTTGGGGTGCATTATATCGTGTTTGTGTGCCTGCCCCACTCCTTCTCTGGGCTTGGATGGGAAATCCGGATGCACTGTGAGCTCTTCTTCAACTCCTTTCAGGTAGGGAGTGCCAGCTAGAGTCTTGCGCTTCTTGTATTTTTCCTTCCTTTCTCAGTGTTCTCTGACCACAATAGCCACAAAGAAGCAGTGTTTGTGGTTCTCAAGTGCCTGTGTTTTCCCACCTGGACAGGTCAGGTAACTTCTGACCACAGGAGGAGCTAAGTCTCACAGGCAATTTCTAAAAATGAGTGCAAAGAAAAGAGAGTTAGGGGGTGTGAGGGATGATGGTTGTTG